TGTGGAAACTTAGCAATTTAGGAAGACTCTGTCTGGAAATAAAAAATTTTAAAAGGGCTAAGGATGTAACTCAGTACAAAGACCCGGGGTTAAATCCTCAGTATGCCAAACAAAAAAAAATACAGACAATAAACTAATAATTGAGACAAAATAGAAACATGAAAACTACTCAAACCAAATAAGAAAGCAAGAGAAGTGAAAAAAGACAAAGTACAGATGGAAAAAACAGAAAACAAACAACAAATTAGACTATTTAAACCCAATCATATCAGATCATACCCAGTAACAAAAATTATAGCAATTTATATATGCATGTATTCATTCACTAAATATTTAATGAATGCATACTATGTGCTAATCTCCATAGTCTTACTGAGAATATCTTGCAATTCAGTTGCAACCAGAATCGTGGAAAGAATTAAGCTCATGAACCAAGGTACCACTGGAATAGGTCACAAAAGTGCCAAGGTCTCAGCTCTCAAGGACTGCTGAGAGTCATAAAGGGTACAAATAAGAAAATCATGATTAAAGTGTATGTGATCTACTCCTTAGTAACAGGGTACATCAGAGTGGACTTCTACCCCACCCCATGTATAAAATGGACCAAAGACCTAGCAGAAGAGCTAAAGCTATAGAACATTTAGAAGAAAACATATGGGTAAATTGTCATGACCTTTGAATTGCCAAGGGATTCTTAGATCTGACACCAAAAATCCAAACAATTAAAGGAAAAAAATAGATAAATTGGACTTCACCAAAATTAAAAACTTATGGGCATCAAAAAACCCTATCAAGAGAGTGGAGAGACATTCTACAAAACGAGAGGAAATACCTGTAAATCATATACCTGAAAAGGAATTGTACTTTTTAAAATTTTGAAGAACTCCCACAACTAAATAATAGAAAGATAAACAATATTTAATAATAGAAAGATAAACACTGGGCAAGGGGCTTGGCAGAAATTTCTCCCAAGGAGACACACAAATGGTCAACAAACACATGAACCTGTGGTTATTCTCCTTTCTGGGTCATTCAGGAAATGCAAATGGAAAACACAGCGAGCTATCATTTCAAACCAAAACAGGAGGCTTATACATTTTTAAAAGGTTTCTTGAAAGGCATGAGGCCCTGGGTTTGACTTCCAGCGCCGCAGCAAAAAAAAAAAAAAAAAAAAGTAAAATGCAAATAAATAAATAAAAATGAGGAAAATAATGTACCATCAAGAATATGGAGAAACTGGAAACCACCTGCACTGCCAGTGGAAATGTAAAAGCCCACAGCTTCTAGGGGAAACAGGGCGATGGCTCCTCCTGGAAGCTTACCTCAGAATTATCCTAAAACCCAGCCAGTCTGGTCCTACACGCTGACTCCGAGGAATGGACAGCAGGGACTTGAGCAGATGCTGCACCCATGTGCACGGCAGCCTTCTGCGCTCACGATGGCCAAGAGGTAGCGCCAGGGCAAGGGCGCATCAAGAGGCACACGGATAACTGTGGCCCATCCCTGCCATATTATTAGGCCATGCAGAGGCTGCACGCCACAACGTCGATGAACCTTGAAAACCTGCTGAACAGAAGGCGCCAGACACAAAAGTTCATGAGTCGCATGCTTGCAATATATCAGATATCCAGGGTAGGCAAATCTGTGGACACAGAAAGCTTGTTAGTGGTTGTGGAGGGCGAAGGGGTGAGGAGATTTAGGCCAACTTCTTAACCAGTGTGGAGTCTCCTTCGGGGGTGGATAAAATAGTTTGGAACTAGAGAGAGGAGGTGATCACTCAGTAGCAAGCCAAACGTTTCAAAACGGTTAATTTTATGTTATGTGACTTTATGTTGTGTGAATATTACTACAGTTAGGAGAGAGAGAGAGAGAGAGAGAGAGAGAGAGAGAGAGAGAGAGAGAGAGAGAGGCTATGCCATGTGTATTTAGGGCTCAGAGGAACAATGACTAGGTATTTGATAATATTAAGGAGTTATTTTTAAGGTGTCCTATGCTATCATGGTTCTGATCTTTTTTTAATTCTTAGAAAATGAAATGATGTGTAGGATTTACTTCAAAACATTCTGAAGAGGGGGAGGAATAAGGAGCTAACTAAACAAATCATATTGGCCTTACGTTTAAAATATTTGAATCAGCCAGGTGTGGTGCCCCATGCCTGTGATCCCAGCACTCTGGGAGGCTGAGATAGGAAGACTGGAAGTTTGAACCTAGTCTGGGAAACTGTGCAATTGAGTGAAAAACTCTGTCTCAAAATAAAAAATAAAGACCTAGGGATGTAGCTCAGTGTGAAGGCCCTGGGTACTGTCCCTAGCATAGACAGATAACTCAGTCTGCTGATGGGTACATGGGAGTTCGTTAAATTCCATTTTTGCATATGTTTGAATTTTTCCATAATAAAAAGCTTAAACCCAAAAGTCCTGAGGCCAAGCTGTCTTCCCCAGAACTGAGAGCACGTGGCAAGCCCTCCACAGTGAGGGATGAATGAATGAAGAATGAATGAAAGAAATAAAGAAAAAGGTCAATGAAAGGAACGAAAAAGGCTCCTCTGCTGTGCTGCCCTAGAGGGACCTCGGGGAGAGATCTGAAGTTGCAGAGTCAGCCAGAGTGACTGGCGCTGCCCGGCCCGGGGTGAGCGCAGTGAAGATGTGGGGAGAGGCCGGACCACCACTGTAGCTCACTCAGCCTTTCTCATAGGTGTCCCTTGGCATAACTCAGGTGCCAGGAGGCCTGTGCTCCCATTCCTGGCACACACGTGTGAGCTATGTGCCCAGCCCTTTTATTTTTACAGACAGGAGGATCTTGCTAAGTCTCCTAATTACCCACACTGGGCTTGAACTTCCAGTCCTCCTGCCTCACCCTCCCAGAGGGCTGGGATGGCCTGCTGTGCCACCACGCCTGGCTCCTGGCTCTCTTGTGCAATCTTGGGTCTGCACACTGCCCTGGAGGAGGGGTGGGCTGCTGCCCTGTGCTCCTTTGTGCTGAGGGTGGACATTGTCCTTACGAGCTAAAGGGAGCTGCTGTCGAGCCTGTGTCTAACCCTGAGTTCCAGCCCGGCTGCAGGGACGGGACGGGCTGTGTGTCAAGGGCCCTCATACCTGTGAGTGTCCCCAGCTCCTGCCGGAGCTCAGAGCTCTGGAGAGCAAATTCAGCAGGTGACACTTGTGGGGCTGTGGGTAGAGCTGGAGCCCCTGCCTCTTCTATCCCAGGCCCTGTGAGGTGCTGCTGCAGTTCTGCCAGCAACCTGTCCCATGACCTCGAGCTCTGCTGAACCCCACGCCCACCCATCCCATCTCAGCAGAGCCCACCTCTTGCAGGAAGCCTTCCCTCACCCCTCGACCTTCCAGACCTCCTCCAGGTGCCCATCCACCTCTGCAGGTGCCCACCATGCCCTTTCCTCCCTGGCAGTGATGCGTGATCTCCATCTCTGCCCCCGCAAGGCCCGGGCCACAAGTTCTGAGTGCCAGTGTCTGTGCAGTGAGGGCCCAGCAAGCAAATGGACAGCCTCTCTGGGCTTCTGCACAGTGCTCAGGCCAGCCAGGGGCCTTTCAGCTGGGAAGCTCTGTGGCTCTGGGGACGTGGGAAAGAGCCTTGGTCACCACCAGGTCCTATCCAGTGCAGAGCAGAGGAGGCTGCACCGGAGATGGAGAGTCCCAGATGGATGGGCTCGGCCAGTCTGGCCATGGAGCACTCACTGCTCAGCCTGAGTCTTGGGGTGTCTGTCCCCCAGAGTCCCAGGGTGAGTGGCTGAGTGGCATCCATCTCCTGCCCCAGAAGCTGCTCATGTCTGGGCCAGCCAGCCTTTCCACCAAAGTCTGTGTAGTGGATGAATGAATGAATGTACACATGAATGAATGAATACATGAATGGGTGAATGAATGAGTATTCAATCTGGCAAGCAGAGGAGGACACTGACTCCTCAACAAGGAAAGCAGATCGCCAGGCAAATGGACAAAGGTGGGTCCTCTGAATGAATTGTGCTGAGCACATCTTTAGATGGAGGAGGCTTCCCTGAGGGCTGGGTCTCAGTTGTTCTTTCCTCTCAGCTCTGTGCAGAGAGGAGCATGCAGTCAAGGTCACATGGAAACATCAGCGGCAGGGCAGGGGTGTCCTGATGATCAGGTCTGCCAATGGTTAACCTAAACCCCAGGGTGGACCCATGAGGCCATGAACTGTCCTTTGGGTCCACTCTACGCTGAGCATTAGAAGTTAAGCATCTCATGGAAACAACTGTGTATCTGCCCTCGTGGAGCCTGGCTTCTGGAGAGGAAGCCAGATGAGCACGCTGTATTATTCCAGGCAGACATAAGAAGGAGAAAGCAGGTATAGGTTGGCAAGGGGGGAGGCAGGATCTCACTGACTAGGGACTTAATGGTACAGCTGTGGACAGGGCTGGAGAAAGGCTGTGCTGGGCAGCAGACAGCATGTGCAAAGGTTCTGAGGCAGAAATAAGCGCAGTGAGTTCTTTTATTATATTATTAATTTTATTGGTACTTTTTAGGCTTACAATATAATGATATTCATCATTGAGAATTTGCACCTTTACATAGTCTCTCTTGGTTCTTATTTTTCCCCCTTCCCCTGCCCTCCCTTCAACCC